ATCATTTCATATCAGGATAAATAGGAATGGCGAGTACAATTATTTGGACAAATATAGGACCAAGGATGTCAAGCACGAAGATGAACTTACTTCATCCCAAGATCTCCCTTGTGCAAGGCGTGGATAGACAGGCGCTTTAGGATTGGCAAATGATATGTAATTGGAAACTGACACAAGTCTAGGCTGCAATGTTCAAATAATTGTTACTAGTTATCTTATATAATCATCATCTGCATAATACATATTCTCAACAAAAGCCGGCCTCCTTGATGTCAAGAGCCATCGTCTGATGCACTGAATTTGTGAATGAAAATGCTAGATAAATAATAAAGTAAAAATAAAACGAATTTTCTATGTTTTAACAATAAAAATGGAAATTAAACGCAATAGAGAAGATCATAGACGGTTTGCCAAGAAAAAGAAAAGATAAGATATCAGAGACGCACTTTGAAAGTCCACCGGAAAAAATAATGCAAATGAGAAATCTGCACGTTGATTGATCAGCTGGAACTTCAAGACAGCTTTCCTGTTGTTGTATAGTTTGGGTTGGAGTCATTGGCATACTTGTACTGGTCAAGCGTACAAAGATTCAAATCAACCACAGGTTAAAAAAAAAAAAAAACCAAAATTGTTACTTTTCAAATCAGATCACAAGCTAATCTGGCATATGAGTTTATTCAATCTGGTGTATATGGTTTACAAACTCACCTTTATTGGGGCCGTGCATATGAATGGTGCTTCGATCCACTCACCGTTCTCCGGGGGACAGGTAGCTGAACTGCGATGTATAAAATCACGTTCCCTTTAGTTCCTTTCCAAAGAATACGCTGCTCAGAGTTTGACACTATCATGATAAAAATTGGTCCACACCAGACACCACCATATTGACAGTGACTAGAGAATTCAGAAGTAAAACTACATCGATTTCGAAGCAGAGAAGTGGGTTACTTGAAATTTGCAGGAGAAAATACTCCCACCCAATCATCTTCAGATGGATTAGGGGCATTGAGTTCTACAGTCACCCATTCTGTATCGTCACCCTGCAACCATATGTGACAAGACGCTTTAGAAGTTCTGTAAATATATAGCATGATTTACAATGTTACAAAAAAAAAAAAAAGTTCGAGAAGGTTAGTGGTTTGAAATATCATATTATTCACCAAACCAGTGAGAAAAACCTGTTTGTAACGAGTATAATCATTTTCACGCTATACAAGACATAAAAAGCAGCATAAGCTTCGCGATTCCATGTACGTAGTGTTTATCACTTGGAACTTAATCTGCCACTTGACACAATTACTCAAACAGCTAGAAGACTAGAAACTAGAAAGGGTAAACTAATTAAACAAAGATCAAAGACGAGCGAAGTAGTACCTTGAGGCCAAGCAAAGAAGGGTTTGCTTTAATGGTCGCGCGAATGTCGAGCGCAAAAGTGGCCTTGTGAATGGAAATCTTAGACAGTGGCTGCTCCCCGATTACATGATGAACGTGAGCCAAAACGTCGACGTGATTCAGGCTGGCGAAACACAGCATCAGCAAAATCATATTCATCAGCTTGAACCAGCGAACCACGTCTGCCATCTTTTGCAGATGGAGATTGATCAGAGGGAATGAAATGACGCTGTGTGGTTAATTAGATATGCCGATTGGATTCTGAGAATTAATCGCAATTGGCCTCTCTAGTATCTTCCACTCGCTATCACTACGATGAAAAACCATGGCCTTCATGGCTCGAATTTATAATCTTCAGACCTGGCGCCAAATCTTTTGGGTGGATTCCAGGGATCCCCTTAGCGTCAGAGACGGTAATAATTTTGCATGAGTGAGCAATTGAAAGTAAATGTATGTTTGCCTTTATCGCAATTCGTATCAGGACTAAAAAGTGATTTAATAGAAACCAAATCATAATTTTAAAAATATTTCTACGCTATACGAAGTAAATATATAAAAAAAATTATCTCGTTTTGTAAAAAAATATTTTTGAGAAGTATTTTTTGGTGCTTCTAAACACTCCCTTAGAATAGAAATTTAGAATAGTTTATCTTTGTTGATTTATTTCTGTTTAGCCCTTTCTATTTTGAAATATTACGGGGGATTCTAAATGATTCTGAAAATAACGTTTTTTTCGCCAAAGAAGTAACGTTTATTAATTAAAACATATGTTAACAATAAATCATACTACTCCTCCGGTCCTAATTATAAGACCCAATTGACTTATTTGAGGAGATTAAGGAAGTAAGTTAAGTTGGTTATTTATAATAAATAAGTGTTGTTATTCCTAAAATATCCTTGCTAATTAAGTATATTGGCTAAAACTATCATTATTAGAAGGATTATCTTGAAAAAAAATGTATAAATATAAGAGAGAAAATGGATTGGGTCTTATAATTAGGACCAAATAAAAAGTCAAATTGGGTCTTATAATAAGGACCGGAGGAGTACCATGTAGTATAAAAGTCAACTGAGAGTTGAAAACATTAATCTACTTTATTTTTTATATTTATTATTATTATTGTGTTTTAAACTCAGTGGCAAAAATATTATTATTTTTAAATTAATTTATCTAACTTATAAATTAATCTAATTATAATATAATGGAAATCTTTCTATTTTGAAATATTGCCGGTGGATTCTAAATGATTCTGAAAATAACGTTTATTAATTAAAACATAAGTTAACAGGGGGATTCTAAATTATAAAGTTAGTTGAGAGTTGAAAACATTAATTTACTTAATTTTTTATATTTATTATGTTTTAAACTTACTTGCAAAAAATTGTTATTTTTTAAAACTTATAAATTAATTTAATTATAATATAATTTTATTCAAAACTGTTCTAGGGACGTCATGCCATATTTATTATGATTTATTTATTTATTTATTTTACTTTCTGGATCAACCTAAATTAATTAAGTTGCCGGATTATTCATTTAATTTTTTTATTGTACTAAATTGTTAATTATTCATTGGGCTTTATGATGTGATCGGCATATGTTTGAAATATTTTTTATTTAAAATATATAATTTATTTATTAAAAATAAAATTGAGGTCTGTCTAATAAAACTTTTGTTTTGAAGGGTGAGTTTTTAAAATATAAAACAAGTTTTTACAATTATTTTTTAAAATGACAACGCTGAAGATCTAAAGCCATTTTATTGGATCTTAAAAACTTCTACTCCTCTATCCTGAAAAAAAAAAAAAAATAGACCCCTGCCCCTCTTCTCATTTATTCATATCTATTAGTGGATAATTATATATTGCTGCCAGAAATGTCACCTTCAACCTCCATCATGTGACTTGATCATCAATATATCATTATCATAAAAAAATATAAAATAATCATATCACATTTTTCACATGTTATGATATTATAATTATTCATTTTGCAATGCACTATTTACCGAAAGAAACGTGTTAAAGTTATGATTATTTGAATAACCTGGTTTTTTTTTTTAACCAGAATTTGAATAACCTAGTTTACACCTTACACTCTGATCAGTTTACGTATGTCATTATACCTTTAGGGGAATATGCTTTACATAAAGTGATATTCTTATTCACGACTAAAATAATAATTACTTCATAAGTACGTATCTTTTAGAATACATTATTCGTCACTGATGGTTTCATTTGTTAATATTATATTTCCAATGGTCTTAAACCTGAAACTTAGGTAACTAAATATATAGATTTGAAAAAAAATAGTTAGATTAGTAGTATATAACAGTTTTCCTAAATTACCCTTCTTTTGATAACCTATGTTAGAAATTAACCATATTGATTAGTTGCATGCATTAATAAATAATAATAGGAATAATTTGAAGAAAATTATTTATGAACAAAATAAATTTTTCAAGTAACTTGTATATTTAGAATCAAATGAAATGAGCATACAAGTGCAGGGACTATTATAATATAAGGACAGAAAAATAAAAATATTCCTTGCACGTCTGCTCGTGCTTTTGAAATGAGATTGGTCTGTCTATCGCGTGAAATATTGAATTATTAGTAAAAACAAAACAATCATATGTTGTTTTAAAACCAGCAGCATCATGGGGTTAATTTGTTGGATATTTGTGAAAAATATTAATTATTTCAAAAGGGAGTGTCAAATATTTATAATTAATATTTCGAAACCAGGCCTCCCAATTTTTGCAACTGAGCGTCTTGAACTCAGTTAAGTTATTTTAGGGACCATACAGAGATATTTTCATTAATTTAACTTTTTTAAAATTGGTTTTTCCTATAATGTTTGAAAAATTATTTAGTTTTTTCGCTGCGTTAGTCCTTTTACATCATTCTCAGACCTTTTTTTTTTTCTTGTCACGTCCCAGTCATACCCATATATGCATGCAGATACTCCTGTTTTGAATAACTAATTTATAGATAACAAATTGTTAGTTAAAAATAATAAATAGATTAGCAATATATCTTTATTTTTAAATATGTTTTTATAATAAATGAAAGAAAATGTATTGGGCAATGTGATAAGAGAGTATGGCAAAGAAGAAAAAATAAATAGTTAAGAACAAAATTGGAAAAAAATATTAAATTTTAAGCCAAAGTCAAAGTAAGGTTTATAAAATAAACTACAGTCTTTCTTAAATTTAAAACTTATAAATATGACTGATGATATATATCATCCAGACATAACATATCATCTATCATTTATGTTATTTACAATAAATTTTGTTGCCTCCTTGTTTACAATAAATTATACATATTAAATAATATAGGGAAATTTGGGGATAAATCCCCATTTAAAAAGTTAATTGTAGAATGGGATATGAACTTTTGAGATCCTTTTGAAAAATTAAAAAGAGAAATAAAATTACTATAATACCCTTAATAAAATGCAATTAGGATCGAGCATATGCAACTAGAGATGAAAGATGTGCAATTAGGATCAGCGATATGCAATTAGGTCTTATATGCAACTAAGCACACGCAATATACAATTTGGATTGATATGCAATTGAAGATCAAGAACATGTAATTAAGATCAGTGATATGTAACTAGATCTTATACGCAACAAGGAATCCTTGATATGCAATTAAGATCAAGCATATGGAACTCAGGATCAAGGATATGTAATTAGGATTAGTGATATGCAACTAGGCATGCATAATATGCAATTAGAATTAAACATATGCTATCTGGGATAAAAAATACTCCTCCGGTCCTTAATATAGGACCCAATTCTTATGTTGGTTTTGGTCCTAAATATAAGACCTCTCTCTCATATTTATCAATTTTCTCTAAAATACCCTTATGGATACTCCCTCAACCATAATCAAGTAGAAGAGGAAGAAGGGGTATTAAGAAAGATGATTATGGTGTTTTAGGAAAAATGTGGCACTTTTCCTATAATTAACTAACTTACCTAACTTCCTTAATTTAATCAAATTAGTTAAATGGGTCATATATTAAGGACCGGAGGAGTATGTAATTAGGTTATGTATGCAATTAGACATCATCTATATGTAATTATGATCAAGCATATGCAACTCCAAATCTAGGATATGCAACCTGAGTTATTTGGTTTGCTTACCCCTCAAACGTATTGTCATTTAAAATCAAATTCCATTCTACAGTTGACTTTTCAAATAGGAAATTATTACATCAGATATATAATAAATCATTATCTTCAAGCAAACTCATTAACATGAAAAGGGTGACTTACAGAAGGGAAAATTCCAAAAAATATGTTTTAAATTTTAAAATCTCAAATCAAAAATTACTGCAAAAATATGTTATTATTTACTTTTTAAATATGGTTAATTGCTATTAAAATGTGGTAAATAAGACTATTTTAAAATTTTAAAATTCAAGAGGTATTTTTGTTTTTTAATTTTACCTCCACAGACCCCGACTGACCATGGCCTAATGTCCATTATTACTTATCATCGGGGCCCATAACGCGCAATCAGCTTGTTTTTGTTCATTTGGACGTGGACCTTTTATTTTTTTAAAAAAAAACCACCCATATTTATACTTGTTAAAAATAGCTAGCACTTAAAGATTTTTCATCGAACAATATATGTTTTAAATTTTTTTAAAAATCATGTAGTATAATATAATATAATTTAAAGTATGAATATTGTGTGTATTTATGGTAAAGGTAATTAAAAAAATTACACCTACCAATTACTAATCACAAAGACGCAATAAATATTACAACATGAAAAACAAGGTAAATTATAACTTCTAAATAATAACCATTTCCTCTTTCTTCTTCAAAAGTGTTTTTGGAGAACGCTTTTTCATAAATTGAATTTTTTTTTTACATATTTATTTTGTATATCATAAAATTATTTTTAAAATTATGATTTTTTTCCCATGCAAGCACCCCCAAAAGATCCTTTTTACTTCAACATTAAATTGTGAAAAACAACAACAGCCAATAGTTGTTCCGGACTTTTTTTTCCACTTCAGATAAAATTGACTTGGTGGAGATAAAAAATGAACTACTATCTCTTATTTTTAATATAATAGCTAATTTGATATTTAATTTAATTCTAAATATAAGACCCAATTCATTTTTTCTCTCATATTTATCTATTTTTTTCAAGTTAATCTTTTTAGTAGTTGCTCATATTAAACGTTTTATTAAATGACATTTTTAATTGATACACATGATTAATAAAAGTATCTTAAAGAAGATAATATATATTTATTACAAATAATTAATTTAAATAATTTTTTTAATCT